ACGTTTTCTTGCCCTGATGAAGGGAGTTGGATTGGATGACTTTAAGTATTTTCTGATGGTCATGGGGAGTTCTGTGTGGGAAGTTTGCCCCAATTCTGTCATTCATGGGGTTCAGAATGCTCTTTGTAGGTGAATTGTGAATCCCAGTGATCACAACTCCCAAAACTCAAGGTCTATTTCCCCCAAACTCCATCTGTGTTTGTTTATTGTGCCAAGTTTGGTCGAGATCCATCATTGTTTGAATCCACAGTGCTCTCTGGATGCAGGTGAACTACAATTCCCAAACTCAAGGTCAATGCCCACCAAAACCTTCCAGTCTTTTCTGTTGGTCATGGGAGTTCTGTGTGCCAAGTTTGGTTCAATTCCATCATTGGTGAAGTTCAGAATGGTCTTTGATTGTAGGTGAACTATAAATCCCAGCAACTACAACTCCCAAATGACAAAATCATAATTTTTTGAGTGATGGTCACTCCTTGTGTTGTGAGACGTTTTGTTGCCAAATTTGGTGTGATTTCGTTCATTGGTTCTTTTGTTTTTAAGGAACTCATTATGCACAGAGCATTTTTATATATATAGATTATTATACCCCTCTTTATCTCTCCTGCAGGAGACTCAAAGCGGCTTAACATAAAAGCATAAGCATATAATTGAAAATATACAAATTTGCAAACATTGAAGCAGGATTAAATATAAACAGTATTAAAAAAATTAAAATTCATTAAATCATATTCAAAGTAAATATTGTTGCAGTCTAATGATATATACAGGTAAATATTGTTGCAGTCTAATGATATATACAGGTCACAAAAGTCACCATGCATGGGGAAAGTGTGAAAACACAACTAATTTGTGTCGCATCGGGATTGTGGCGCAGCTGGCTGAGTGTCAGCTGCATTAAGATCACTCTGACCAAAAGGTCATGAGTTCGAAGCCAGCCCAGGTTGGAGTGGGTGTCCAACCAATTGTGTAGCCTGTTGTCGACCTTTGCAACCTGAAAGACAGTTGCATCTGTCAAGTAGGAAAATTAGGTACCACCTTAAAGTGTGGGGAGGCTAAATTAATTTATGAGGCCATAAAGAAGACTCCAGCAGAGCATTCCAGCGGGGAAGCATGCGGGGAATGCGGAAGTTCTTCATCAGCGTCACAGATGGACGATGAAAGCGACAGCTCCCCTGGCGGCCAGAAAAAGTCAAATAGCCTCTGTCTATGTCTGTATACGTTGTATGTCAAAATTGGCATTGAATGTTTGCCATATATGTGTACACTGTGATCCGCCCTGAGTTCCCTGCGGGGTGAGAAGGGCAGAATATAAAAGCTGTAAATAAATAATAAATAATATCTTTATTTACAAAATATTTATTACTTTCAAAATATTTAGGGCCACAATCTCCCCACTGCATTGGATTAGCACCGGGAAACATATTTCTAGGCGGAACTAAGAGCTATCCCAAGGGAACATTGGGGAAACTGAATATGGGACACTTGATAAATGGGAAAATAATCCAGTGGAAGGAAACAGCAATTCTTTGTGGATGAAAATAGCAAGCATTTGTCATAATGGCAAAAAGAAGTCTTTCCAGGAAGGCTAAATCCAGCCCTGATGTTCTTGGATATCTCTGGAGAGTCCATGGGCATTTGTTTTCGCATGTTGACGTTGTTGTTGTTGTTGGTCTTTCTCTCTCTCTCTCTCTATATATATATATATAATATGAAGATTGCAGGAAAAACTGGAAGAACATAGGGATATCTTTGCATATGGAGCTGTTGAGACTGTGGGCTCATTTGCATTACAGAATTATAAGCATTATTATTCCGCATTAACTGTCACGATTCTGTTCTACAAAATCCTGGAATTGGTAGAGATTTTTTGAGGGGGTTTGATTATTATTATTATTATTATTATTATTATTATTATTATTATTATGGTTGTTGTCATTGTTATTATATTATTTGTACCCTGCTTTTGGCAACAAGAATGATTGACAACTGGGAAATAGAGGGAGAAAACATGGAGGCCGTGACAGACTTTGTATTTCTAGGTGGGAAGATGACTACAGATGCAGACTGTGGCCAGGAAATCAGAAGACGCTTCCTTCTTGGGAGGAGAGCAATGTCCAGTCTCGATAAAATAGTAAAGAGTAGAGACATCACACTGGCAACAAAGATCCGCCTAGTCAAAGCCATGGTCTTCCCTGTAGTCACCTACGGATGTGAGAGCTGGACCTTAGGGAAGGCTGAGCCAAGGAAGATCGATGCTTTTGAGCTGTGGTGCTGGAGGAAAGTTCTGAGAGTGCCTTGGACTGCGAGAAGATCCAACCAGTCCATCCTCCAGGAAATAAAGCCCGACTGCTCACTGGAGGGAAGGATACTAGAGACAAAGTAGAAGTACTTTGGCCACGTCATGAGGAGACAGCAAAGCCTAGAGAAGGGAATGATGCCGGGGAAAGTGGAAGGCAAAAGGAAGAGGAGCTGACCAAGGGCAAGATGGATGGATGACCTTGAAGGAGCTGGGGGTGGTGACGACCGACAGGGAGCTCTGGCGTGGGCTGGTCCATGAGGTCACGAAGAGTCGGAGATGACTGAACGAATGAACAACAACAACAACAACCCTGCTTTTCTCCCAGGACTGTGAACTGTACACCTCCCAAGATATAAATATGTAAATATATGCAAATATTCCAAAACGTGGCAGGGGTGTTGTGGGAATCCCTGGTTGTCTTTGCAGAAAATTTGTTTTCTGCACCAAAAGTTATCTGTGTTTTTTTCTATGCAGAATAAATACAAACTACGATGGATGGATGGATGGATGGATGGATGGATGGATGGATGGATGGATGGATAGGTAGGTAGATAGATAGATAGATAGATAGATAGATAGATAGACAGATCTGTTTATTGATTAGCCCACCGAACATATAAACAATAAAAGACAAAAATACAACGACAAATAGACACTAGTCACTATGCTGAAACTCCTGTAATAGTTTACCAAAATAAATCAAAACTCGTTAAAACTTGATTAAATAAAAAAGTTGGATAGAACTATGAAAACAAGAAAACCCATTCATTATTTTTCTCTTGTTCAAATATTTTGAAATGTTATTTTGATTCATAGGAGAGTCGACCCTCCTTATCCATGGATTTTGTATTCATGCAACCGTCCGTGACTTGAAAATACATATATTCAAAAGCATTCTCAAAAACGTGCCTTGTTTTTGTAATTTCACATATATATGAAGGAAATAGTTGTTTTATGACATCGTATATACAGGCAGCTCCCAAGTTACAAACAAGACAAGTTCTGTAGGTTTGTTGTAGTAGAGTCTGCTAGTAATGATACTACTACTACTAATAGGAGTAGTAGAGGAGGCAAACGAGGTGCTCAGGTGCTAAGGAAGAACAACAAAGGAAACGTATCCGGGAGAAACTTATATCTCCCACAGATGAAGTCTCTTTCGAAGGTTTCTCAGAAAGTGAAATGTGCGAGGAGGAGGAGGAGGGAGATGGGAGTAGAGGTGTCAAACTGATTACTCGTGAGCAAGACTCTGACGAAGAATGTCAGAGGAAAAGGATCCGGGACATGCTTAATGCTCCCACTGAAGATGAGGATTTCATGGGCTTTACTGGAAGTAATGTGTCTGGGAGTAGTGAGGATGAAGAAGAGCCATTAGACTGGACTCAAGTACAAGAAGTCAGGAATGTGTGCATGCAACCCACGTCCAGTGATATGTTTGAGGGTTTTTCTGGGGATTGGCAGTCTGGAGATTCCAGGGATTCATGGGGAGACTTAAGTCTTGACAGGAGGTGGAAGAGTTGGAGAGATGGGTGTTGGCGCTCAGCTGTAATGGGTAAGACAGCTGATAGCAATGAAGAAAGGGCGGAGGACAGCTCATCAACAGATGATGAGTTGTAGGATAAATGAAGGCACTGAAAGTTTGGAACTTTGCAGTAGGCAAAGTGTTGGTTACGTGCCTTGGGTTTTGTTGCTGCTGCTTCTCTTGTTGGGCTTGGGTCCTGGAACTGCACGTTGCTGTATTCTTCCTGTGCTGACCAGCTTGGACTCTCGTAAGTGCGGATTTCCCCTCTTGTTGACTACGGATTGTTTACTGACAACAACGTTGCTTTTGGATCTACAATTGGGATTTCTTCGGCCTTGGACTGATTTTGGCTTTGGACTGATTTTGGACAATGGCTTCGCTTCACAGTGTTTTGTTTTGGCCTTATCTTTGAACTGTGTGTTTTTGGTGCATTTTGCTTGAACTCTTGTTTAACCCGGATTTTTTGCCAGTATAATCCGGTTTATTTGCCTACTTTGTTTTTCAAGCTACAAATTGCTGCAAAGCTTGAGTTTTAGCCAGAGGCACTGAAGGAAGTGTCTCTGAGCTCTGTTTTCTTTGGTTTAATAAACTGTTGATTGTTTACATTACTGTGCTGGCTCTTTAAAGGCATCTGGGTTCCAACAAGGTTTGTTCTTAAGTTGAATTTGTATGTAAGTTGGAACAGGTACATTTTTGAAGTGTAACTCCAGCCAAATATATATTGCAATGCTGTGGAATCGTGCAATTTTGTATAAGGGCATCGCTGTAAATAATCTGAGCATGTTTCTATGTGTTTTCATTTCCTGGAACTAAAGCCCAGAAGATAGCAAGTGGCTGCTATATAGCATTAAAGATGGTAGAAAATTAGACCCTAATGGGGTGGTTTTTAAATGCCAGATTAATTAATTCCATTTAAATGCCGCTGCGGGAATCTTATGAATTGGCTCTCAATATGGTACCAGATGGTGGTGCTAACTCCAGGTTAATGAATACAGAATACAAGACTGTGATCCGTTGTGCAAAGTGGATGGTTAAGGAGGAGTGGATACATGCCGGGTTGATTTCAAATACCCGAGGACTTTTGTGGTAGGAAAAGCATTACACAGCAGTCGTAATAACCTTAGCACGTCTTTGAAAATGTTTAATATGATGATCTGTCTTTCTTGTTTTCTTTCTCTGCAGTGGATATTAGAGAAATTAAGGAGATCCGATCAGGGAAGAATTCCCGGGACTTTGAGCGCTATCCTGAAGATGCCCGGAAGCTGGACTCTGCCTTGTGTTTTGTCATCTTATATGGAATGGACTTCCGGCTGAAGACGTTGAGCGTGGCTGGTCAGTGAGTTGGAGGTGTATGTGATGAAATGCAAACATATGTGAATTCAAAGGGACACATCCTTATCCTGTATCATGATACCAGGGCTCTGCCTTTACAGAGGCAGAGATGAACCAAACAAAAGCCCAGTTTGTATAAAACAATTTAATTAAAACATGAAGACGTTGAGCGTGGCTGGTCAGTGAGTTGGAGGTGTATGTGATGAAGTGCAAACATATGTGAATTCAAAGGGACGCATCCTAATCCTGTATCATGATGCCAGGGCTCTGCCTTTACAGAGGCAGAGATGAACCAAACAAAAACCCAGTTTGTTTAAAACAATTTAATTAAAACATGAAGATGTTGAGCGTGGCCGGTCAGTGAGTTGGAGGTGTATGGGATGAAGTGCAAACATATATGGATTCAAAGGGACAGATCCTTATCCTGTATCATGATACCAGGGCTCTGCTTTTACAGAGGCAGAGATGAACCAAACAAAAACCCAGTTTGTATAAAACAATTTAATTAAAACATAAAGATTCCACTCAGCCACAGAATATAAAACAAAAATAGCAAACACTGTTGCAGGTTCAAGATAACTCCATAATCCAAAGGTCCAGTCCAGTGGTCAAACGCCGAGAGTTCAATGAACAAAGTCCAGGGATCAAGAGTCTATACCATAGTCAAAAGCCAGTCCAAAGGTTCAAGGTCCCAGGATTCCAAAAGTTTGGGAGACAGATTACAACATTGAAAATCCACAAACCTGGGGGGAAACCAGCAGCATCTACTATTTGTATTGTACCCTCATATAAGCCACACCGAGTCCCCTTGGGGGAGATGGAGTGGGGTATAAAGAAAGTATTATTATTATCATCATCATCATCATCATTATCATCATCATCATCATGTCTCCTCTCCGCCTTCTCTTCTTCAGTCTAAACATGCCCAGCACTTTAAGCCGCTCCTCATATGGCTTGTTCTCCAGACCCTTGATCCTTTGAGTCGCCCTCATCTTGACACATTCCACCTTGTCAACATCTCTCTTCAATTGTGGTGCCCAGAATTGGACGCAATATTCCAGGTGTGGTCTAACTGAGGCAGAATAGAGGGGAGCATGACTTCTCTGCTCCTAGACACTATGCTCCTATTGATGCAGGCCAAAATCCCACTGGCTTTTTTTACACTGCATCACATTGTTGGCTCATGTTTAACTTGTTCCTCACGAGGACTCCAAGATCTTTTTCACACGTCCTGCTCTCGAGCCAGGCATCGTCCCCCATTCTGTCTCTTTGCATTTCCTTTTTTTCTGTCTAAGTGGAGTCTCTTGCATTTGTCACTGTTGAACTTCATTTTGTTAGTTTTGGCCCATCATCTCTCTCATCTGTTCAGATTGTTTTGGTGTCATCTGCAAACTTGATGATCCTGCCTTCTAAGCCTTCATCTAAGTCATTAATGAAGATCCTGAGCAGGACAGGGCCCAGGACAGAACCCTGCTGATGGTACTCCACTCGTCACTTCTTTCCAGGATGAAAAGGATGAAGCCTTGGGGAGCATCACCCTCTAGGTTCGTCCATTTAACCAATTCCAGATCCACCTCACCGTAGTTTTGCCTCGCCCACATTGGACTACTTTCCTTGCCAGAAGGTCATGGGGGACCTTGTCAAAAAAGGCCTTCCTGAAATCCAGGTCTGCTCCATCCACGGCGTTCCCTGCATCTACCCAGCTTGTAACTCTGTCGAAGAGATCAGATGAATCTGGCACGACTTGTTTTTGATAAATCTTCTCGCAGTCCAAGACACTCTCAACATTTTCCTCCCAACATCACATTCCTTCCATTTTCCCCAGCACCATTCTCTTCTCCAAGCTTTCCTGGCTTCTCGTGATGTGGCCAGAGGACTTCATCTTGGCCTCTACTATCCTTCCCTCCAGTGAGCAGTTGGGCTTTATTTCCTGGAGGATGGACTGGTTGGATCTTCTCACGGTCCAAGGCACTCTTTGAACTTTACTCCAACACCAGGGTTCAAAAGCATCTCTCTTCTCTTGCTCACCCTTCCTTATGGTCCATCTTTCACATCCATAAGTTACTACAGGGAATACCATTGCTTTAACTATGTGGATCTTTGTTGCCAGTGTGATATAGAAGAGGTATTTAAATAGAAGTCTTTGAACACTTATCAGACGTGTTTGAGTTGTGTATTCCTTTACAACAGAGGGTTGGATTGGGTAGCTCAGATGGTGTCATCCTACACTATGATTTGGATGAGAAATAATCAAATAATTAATGGTGTCCCCACATCCACTGCAGCACAATGAATGTGGAAACAATGTGCAGGCTTTGAAGATCTAACCTCTGTTTTCAACTGAGTAAATTGAAACTCTCCACGGTTGCAGATAGCTGAGATTAGTTGTTGTTGTTCATTCGTTCAGTCGTCTCCGACTCTTCGTGACCTCATGGACCAGCCCACGCCAGAGCTCCCTGTCGGCCTTACCACCCCCAGCTCCCTCAAGGTCAGTCCAGTCACTTCAAGGATGCCATCCATCCATCTTGCCCTTGGTCGGCCCCTCTTCCTTTTGCCTTCCACTTTCCCCAGCATAATTGTCTTCTCTAGGCTTTCCTGTCTCCTCATGATGTGGCCAAAGTACTTCAACTTTGTCTCTAGTATCTTTCCCTCCAGTGAGCAGTCGGGCTTTATTTCCTGGAGGATGGACTGGTTGGATCTTCTCGCAGTCCAAGGCACTCTCATCACTTTCCTCCAACACCACAGCTCAAAAGCATCGATCTTCCTTCGCTCAGCCTTCCCTAAGGTCCAGCTCTCACATCCGTAGGTTACTACAGGGAATACCATAGCTTTGACTAGGCGGATCTTTGTTGCCAGTCTGATGTCTCTACTCTTTACTATTTTATCGAGACTAGACATTGCTCTCCTCCCAAGAAGTAAGCGTCTTCTGATTTCCTGGCCACAGTCTGCATCTGCAGTAATCTTTGCACCTAGAAATACAAAGTCTGTCACGGCCTCCACATTTTCTCCCTCTATTTTCCAGTTGTCAATCATTCTTGTTGCCATAATCTTGGTTTTTTTTGATGTTTAGCTGCAACCCGGCTTTTGCGCTTTCTTCTTTCACCTTGATTAGAAGGCTCCTCAGCTCCTCCTCGCTTTCGGCCATCAGGGTGGTGTCATCTGCATATCTGAGGTTGTTAATGTTTCTTCCAGCAATTTTCACCCCAGCTTTGCATTCCTCAAGCCCCGCACATCGCATGATGTGTTCTGCATACAAGTTAAAAAGGTTGGGTGAGAGGATGCAGCCTTGCCGGACGCCTTTCCCAATCTTGAACCAGTCTGTTGTTCCGTGGTCCGTTCTTACTGTTGCTACTTGGTCCTTGTACAGATTCCTCAGGAGAGAGACAAGGTGGCTTGGGATGCCCATCCCACTAAGAACTTGCCACAATTTATTATGATCCACACAGTCAAAGGCTTTAGAATAGTCAATGAAGCAGAAGTAGATGTTTTTCTGAAACTCCCTGCCTTTCTCCATTATCCAGCGGATATTGGCAATCTGGTCTCTCGTTCCTCTGCCTTTTCTAAACCCAGCTTGAACGTCTGGCAACTCTCGCTCCATGTATTGCTGGAGTCTTCCTTGCAGGATCTTGAGCATTACCTTACTGGCATGAGAAATAAGGGCCACTGTATGGAAGTTGGAGCACTCTTTCGCATTTCCCTTTTTTGGTATGGGGATATAAGTTGATTTTTTCCAGACATACTGAGGAGTGAGGTTGAATGGGCCTTAAGAAGCATTGCTAACAACAAGGCAGCAGGAGACGACGGGATCCCAGCTGAACTGTTTAAAATCTTAAAAGATGATGCTGTCAAGGTGATGCATGCCATTTGCCAGCAAATATGGAAAACACAAGAATGGCCATCAGACTGAGATTAGTAGGTTGCAGATTTTTGTCTCTTAATAATAGGTTTATGTGGCATTCTTAGATAAAGCACCACGTTTGTTTGGGTTCTAGGAGCCTCTGATTAGTACAATGGTAAAGCAGTTGCTCTTTAAATTTCATGTTAAGCACATGCTCGGTGAACTATGAAGGTTGAATGAAAAGTAATGCCTCCACCTTCGTAACTCCTCAACAGATGGCAGTACTGGTATGCGGCAGGTACTGGCTTGTTCAGTAGACTCTCCTCTACAGTTCCATTTTGGTGGGAAGCCTTAGCATTGAACGGACCTTCATAACTCCTCCACAGATGGCAGTACTGGTATGTGGCAGGTACTGGCTTGTTCAGTAGACCCTCCTCTACAGTTCCATTTTGGTGGGAAGCCTTAGCATTGAACGGACCTTTGTAATTCCTCAACAGATGGCAGTACTGGTATGCACCAGGTACTGCCTTGTTCAGTAGACTCTCCTCTACAGTTCCATTTTAGTGGGAAGCCTTAGCATTGAACGGACCTTCGTAACCCCTCAACAGATCGCAGTACTGGTATGTGGCAGGTATTGGCTTGTTCAGTAGACTCTTCTCTGCAGTTCTGTTTTGGTGGGAAGCCTTAGCATTGAACAGACCTTCATAACTCCTCCACAGATGGCAGTACTGGTATGTGGCAGGTACTGGCTTGTTCAGTAGACTCTCCTCTACAGTTCCATTTTGGTGGGAAGCCTAAGTATTGAACGGACCTTCGTAACTCCTCAACTGATGGCAGTACTGGTATGCGGCAGGTACTGGCTTGTTCAGTAGACTCTCCTCTACAGTTTCATTTTGGTGGGAAGCCTTAGCATTGAACGGACCTTCGTAACTCCTCAACAGATGGCAATACTGGTATGCGGCAGGTACTGGCTTGTTCAGTTGACTCTCCTCTACAGTTCCATGTTGGCGGGAAGCCTTAACATTGAATGGTTGTGTTGTTAAAGTGCGAAGTATGGAACCCTGCGCAGAGGGTTGGTGTTGCAATCCAGAGCAGAGAACGAGGCCTAAGATAACTATCCACCACACTTGGCTGTGAAAAACAATCCTTTTTTATTGAAGAA